CTACTACTACTACTATTATTGTTATTATTGTTGTTGTTGTTGTTGTTATTGTTATTGTTGTTGTTGTATTATTGTTATCTATAATTTATATAATTAACCTGCTTGTGGTTTGACCCTGGTCTTGCTGGGTTATTTATTACTTCGACACTCCTACACTTGGGAGAAGACATTAATTTTTTGGTCGTGTCATTAACCTCTCTATGGTTCGACTCTAGTTTTGCCGGGTTATTTATTACTTCGACACTCCTGCACTTGGGAACGACATCAATATTCTAGTTATGTCAAGTTTTTGGCGTTATTGCCGGGGAGATGAATTCATGTATAACTTATAATTTTTATTTTATTTTCGCTTTTCATTTTTCTTATATTTGACTTATATTTATTTTTTATTTTGTTTTCTTCTTTCTTTTATTCTCTTCCTATACGTGTATGAGAGTTTCGTCATATTTATTAAGTGAGACTTTGTAAAGTATTCTCATCATTTTCAAAAAATATGGCCGAAGAATATAACCAGCCACTTCATAATAAGAATAATGAGAATAATCGAGTTAAAATACTTAGAGACCATATGAATCCCACAAAAACAAGTGTACCCTTATACATAATTTTTCCTCCTGATGCATCTCATTTTAATTTTAAGCCAAAAATTATTTAATTTTTACCTTCTTTTCATGGTTAGATTTAGAAAATTAACACTTGCATTTAAGGAAATTTGACGAGGTCTGTAACACTAATAATAACTCAAATTATAACATGAACATCGTCAGATTAAATATTTTTTCTTTTTCTTTAAAAGATAAAGCTAAAACATGGCTACAAAATTTGAGACCAGAATCCATTCGTGTTTAGGATGAAATGCAATAACAGTTTTTAAAAAAGTTATTCCCTTCTCATATAACAAACTCTTTCAAAAGATAAATCATCAATTTCACTCAAAAACTAAGAGAAATATTTTACAAATATTGGGATAGATATCGAGACTTATTTAATAATTGCTTTCATTATGGTTTAAAAACATGGAGATTGGTTTCACATTTTTATGAAAGATTAACACCTACAGATAAGCAAGTAGTGGAATTAATGTATAATGGAACTTTTAAAGATAAAGACTCTAATGAAGTAATGGAGTATCTAAATTTGCTAACTGAAAATACTTAAAATTAGAACATTATAGACACTTATGAGGCACAAAGTAAAATTCAACCTCATATATTTAGTAGAGGAATATACAATTTTAGGGAAAATCATAATCTCCAAGCCAAGTTTGCATCTTTAGCTAGAAAAGTTTAGGCACTAGAATTGAAAAAGAATAATCAACCAAAATCTATTCAAGACATTGTGTGTAAAATCTATGGAACCAATGAACACTCAACCAGTGACTGCTCAACTTTGCTTTCTTTCAAGAAATGACTCCATGAACGAACATATGCTTCAAATAGTTCCAATCATAACCCATACTTACAAATGTATAACTCTAGTTGTAGAAATCACCCAAATTTCAATTGGAAGAGAAACATATAAACGTCACAGCCACCATTTTAAGCACACCATAATTTTCAAAATTCTCATAGATATGCACCTCCTTATACTTCACCTTTTAAAAGAAATATTGAGAAAATATTGCATGCACTCATTGAAAAGCAAAAAATAATAAACACTCAAAATGCTTAAACTATAGCAGATCTAAAAGATGCTTTTG